TTTCTTAGCTTAAGCCTTAAACCCTACAGCAAGCTATCGATATTAGGTACTTATACTTAACATAGAAAAAAGTCTTTGTTTTAACCAACGTGTTCGGACCAAGTTTGGTCCACGTTATGCTCAACGTGTGCGGTCCATGCCTTCTGACGAGCTCTGGGGGACCGATACGCAATATCGGATCGGCCCATCTCTAGTACATAGTTTGAAAAAAATGCAAATAAAGTTGAAATATTTACGATTTTTATTTACAGAACTTTAACAAAGAAAATTTCAGCAAGTTTTGATTGCTGAAATTTTTCAGTTTCATATAAATGTAGTCTAACTTTATTTTCTGTAGCCCACAAAATTAAACATTTCAGTTACAGCCTGTATAATAAAGATGGCACTAGTTTAACTTTCACGCTTTTTTGTTAGAAAAAATAAAATCTAATTGTTGCTTAAATTTACACAAAATGTCAGAAATCTGCAACGACACAAACAATTTAAAGCTAATTTTTCACGACTTCACCCGGTGAGGTCCAAATGATAATTTACCAGTTTTCACTTCTTTTCATTTGATTTGTGTTTCACCTTCAGATTGTTCTTTTTCTTGTTTGGCATCATTTTCAGCTCAATGTGTCTGAATGTAGTTATTTTTTCATTGACATGCTGTATTAACACAACTGATCTGAAATCACACAAAGTCCTAGTTTATATTATTTTATTGTAAAACCCACAGACAGGTTTAGTAAATTATTTTCAGAATTTGAAATGCAAATATAAATTGTAAATTTAGAAAGATTATGCACAAATATGTAAACAAAGTTATATACAACTATTTATCTAAAAATGCAGTCAACGCATCTGGTGGGATTTTATTTTAATTGTTTTTTAAATTGGCTAACATGGTACTGTGGGGGGGCGTGGCCTGCGGATGCACCTGCAATCACGCCCGCCGCGTTAAACCACGGGGAAAGCAGGGTTGGGAAGAGTTTGTGTGGAGTGTGGTGTGACAAACATGGACCCGCCGTGTCTCAGTCACAGGTACATTTTTCACCAGCAGCTGGTGGCTGTTTCTGTGCTTTCGTCCTTGGAAAACGCCGTTTTTTTTCTTTAACTGTTTCTTCTGCACAAAACATGACGATAGTATTTCGAAAAAAAGCATCTTATTAAAAACAAACAAACAATCATAACTCTGGATTTAGTGGCCTGTCATTAACATTTTAATACAGGTGTTGTGTTAAAACAGCTGCACATACACAACAGGCAGCTTAGAATACAGTTGATCAAACATTAAAAACAACAGATGATGAAATCATTTCTGGATAGTATGATGTCATATTTTGACCAACACAGTGCATCTGTTTACATTTCAAAACCTATCATTCTAAATATTTTGTTAATGTGACATTGCTGTTACATGTTGGTACGAACATATGGCTTCTTCATACCACAGTCTTCGTCAATGATGCGCAGCTGTGGACCATAAGCACACTGGTTCAGCTTCACATGGGAGACCTTTATGTGGTCACAAAGTGGTGAATGCTGCCTCCCTCCACAGGGAGACTGTCACTGTTCAACCATCCTGGAATCACAAACATGACAGAATGAAAGATTTATTCATTAACTAACACAAAGAGCCCACAGACGCAAAGAGCCCACAGACGCAAAGAGCCCACAGACACTAAGAGCCCACAGACACTAAGAGCCCACAGACACTAAGAGCCCACAGACACTAAGAGCCCACAGACGCAAAGAGCCCACAGACACTAAGAGCCCACAGGCTAATACAACCTGCTCACCTACCACCAAATGTACCAGAGGACTTTCAGCTGTCACACTTCAGCTGCACCATCACCTGCTTCAGCTGCAGGTTTTATAGGAACGTGTCGTTTCCCTGACAACCTTCCTCACTGCCAAACACAGAAAAGTCCTATAAATTAATGTCAGTTATAGTGAACGTATTGATCTGTGAGGTGTTTGTTTCTTGAATCTACAAACACGTTGGACACACAACACATTTGAGCATTTTCCTTTAAACCCTTCAGCGACAGCTTTCACTACATTACATGTCGACTCTTTCCATTGTTCCTCTTGTTTTCATTGTATACGTTACACTCACTAAACCCGTTTGTCTGCATTTAAAACAATAATCTAATCATCCCATCATTGTTAGCGAGCACAGAAAGTGTAATCTAGCCCATACAATACAAATGTATGTAGGCATGATGGAAATGGACTGTATGAAGAAAGACAAATGATAAAATAATGGTCGTTCATGTTCCCACAACTTAGTGTTTGACAACAATTTTGACTCGTAAATGCATGAAAACAATAACGGTTTCTTTGAAAAGCTAAAGCAGTATCGGTTCTGATGGGACCACAGATACTGACCTCCACGACCTCCCCTTCTGCTGTCATAAGCCCCCCCCGCGAGCTCATCTTTGGCGTCGTTACAGGCCAGGAGGAGGCAGAAGATCCTCTGCTTTCGCAGTAAGACCTTCTGCCAGTGGGAGGGCAGGTGCCCCGAAAACCTGAGTCCATGCAGTGATGTTTATGACCTAAGGGGGAGCTGTGCCTCTCAGT